TTTTTTTTTTTTTTTTTTTTTTTTTTTTTTGTACCAGTGATTGAACTTGGGTCCTTGCACTTGCAAGGCAGGTCACCAAATCGCTGAGCTAAATCCCCAGCCCTCACATGCTATTTTATTATTGGGAAATTTATTTTGTGGATATTATAGATTCTAGATATCAATACTCTGTGGAATAGCTGGCAAATTTTTTCCAAATTGTAAAGGTTGTCGTTCATTTTCTTAGATGTTTCTTTAGCTATGCATAATATTTTTAACTTGGTATGATCACACTTGTTGATTCACAGTAATATTTCCTTTACAAACTTGTTTCTCTTCAGAAAGTCCTTACTTATGCTTATGACTTCAAGAGTTTTGTGTATTTTATCTTCCAGCAAGTTGTGTTTCTATTTTACCATTTCTTGTTTTATACATTTTAATTTTAGTTTAGTACATGGTGAGAGATACCAGTTTAGATTTGATATTCTGCATGTGGATAGCCATTTTTCCTAATACCATTTATTACAGAGGCTACCTTTCCTCGAATGTATGTTGTTTGGTTCCTTTGTCCAAAAAATATGCAGTTATATGTGCATATAAATATATATTCAATAATTACATGTGACACGTAATTTAACAATCCTCTTCTGATATTTTCTTCACACCCTCTAGTGAATTTCTATCTGATTTATTTTGGTAAAAAAATTTACAACTGAAGGAGGGGAGTGGAATTAATATGAGAAGAAGAAAAAATGGAAACAAAGTTTTTGTAGATAGGGAAGAGTGCAGGGGGTGAAGGGCGGGCTGGGGAATGAGGAAAAAATAAGAACCAAATGGATTGTGTAAAGGTGAAAATTTCCAATAATGAGTTTTATTATATGGTATATTTTAAATTTACCAATAAAATTAGTTTAAAAAATAGTACAAGTAATCCTTGACATATCTACACCTCAGAGGCAGTGTATATTGCTCTTCTGCCAACTCACTGTCTCTCGGTTTTGCTTTATAGTAGTTCAGAAAGAGGACTGTTTTTAAATTATCCTCATACCTTAATTTAATGAAGAGAAAGTATGTACTGTACTATCCCAAGCTGCCATTTCCAAATTTATGTTTGGAAATGTGAATTTTGACTTATTGTACCTGCTCATTAAAAAAAAGATAGTAAAATAACATTGCGTTGTTAGTCTCCAAGATCGTTTAATTTTTCTCATTTATTTTTAAAATAAAATTTGTACATTTTACACAAGTTTATGTTTTAATAAAAGTTTGTGTATTTTTTCATCTGTCAAGGGTTTCAGTAAATAGCTACTGATGCAATTCTTATGTATAGTCTTGGATAAATACTTTATACTTGATTATTTTGGAAGATACAAAAATCATTTTTAACAACTGAATTTGACATTAAAACATTTTAATTAATTCATTTGGACTAATCATGAGTAACTAGGGGCCCCTGAAACGTTATCAGAAACCTCTTCAGTGGGCACCAGTCTTCCACCCAGTGTAAGATGCAGGCCTGAGGCGGGGGGTAGGGGGAACCTAAAAGACAGAACTATGAGAGACAGAAAGCAGGGTGCCAGGATTGCCAATGCCCGTGCAACTGACAAAGGTTCTGGAGAGTCCAAGCCACTGATTTTTATCAGTAATCATTTGGGGTAAAAGTGAACTATATGCAAGAGCAGAACTATATGACAGGACACAGTCATTCAGTTTCCATGGAAATTAATTTAAGCAAAGTCTTGTGAAGGACAAGACAATCATTCTAAAATTAGGAATAGAATAAACAAAAATTTTCATTGTAACTAGAATATTGTCCTTCTAGTAAAACGGTTTTAATTGTGGGAACAGAACTTGGGTGCACGTTACTATGACCTCAGCAGGTAGGCTTCAGCTGGACTCACTTCTATAAACAAGAGAATTGTGGGTTTAACTATTGACATTGCTTGCAGCCTGATTTGGGGCATAATAAAATTGCAGTCTCCTTCAATGTTTAATTCACTGTAGCCTCATTTATCTTGTGTAGTTTAGTGATAGTTGTTTTTTCAAAGTTGTGTGTATTTTCTCCTTTTGAAAACTAGTTTACATAAATGAGTTACATTAATTACCACAAAATTATATGCTATACACTCAAACTTCTGCAGAACATCTTCTAGCTGCTACATGTTAGCAACCTTTGCATTTAAAATGTACTACAACATATAACATTATCTATCTACCTATCATCTATATCTTCCAGCACAACTCTATAATTTTACAACTATGTAGATCAGCTAAGCAAGTTGATTATGGTTATAAAGCTGAGACTTAGAATCAAAATCTTCTGACACTATTTTTTGGCCTTATTCTAATATAGTATTTCAAGAAATTAACTTTTTTCTCATTACATATGTGAACATATTATTTTATACTTTATTACTGTATTAACATAAGTAAAATTATATTTCATTTCTTTTTTTCCAGAGCCAAAATACTTTTGGACTTGATGTCGTTGAAACATCAGAGGGAGACAAGATGCCACAATTAATAGTACAAAAGGAATTAGATAGGGAACAGAAGGATACATATGTGATGAAAGTAAAGGTTGAAGATGGTGGCTTTCCTCAAAGATCTAGTACCGCTATTTTGCAAGTAAGTGTTTCTGATACAAATGACAACCATCCAGTCTTTAAGGAGCAGGAGATTGAAGTTAGTATACCAGAAAATGCTCCTGTGCATACTTCAGTGGCACAACTCCATGCCACAGATGCTGACATTGGTGAAAATGCCAAGATTCACTTCTACTTCAGCAATCTGATCTCAAATATCGCCAAGCGACTATTTCACCTTAACACTACCACTGGACTTATCACAATCAAAGAACCACTGGATAGAGAAGAAGCGCCAAGCCATAAATTACTTGTTTTGGCAAGTGATGGTGGACCAGTGCCTGCAAAAGCAATGGTTCTGGTGAATATTACAGATGTTAATGATAATGTCCCATCAATCGACATTAGATACATCATCAATCCAAAAAATGGCACTGTGGTTCTCTCAGAAAATGCTCCACTCAACACCAAAATTGCTCTAATAACTGTGACTGACAAGGATGCTGAGAACAATGGTAGGGTGAAGTGCTTCACAGATCATGAAGTTCCTTTCAGATTAAGGCCAGTATTCAGTAATCAGTTTCTCCTGGAGACTACTGCACATCTTGACTATGAGCATACAAGAGAATATGCCATTAAATTACTGGCTGCAGATGCTGGCAACCCCCCTCTGAATCAGTCGTCCATGCTCCTCCTCAAAGTAAAAGATGAAAATGACAATGCTCCCATTTTCACTCCGCCTTTTATAAGTGTTTCTGTTCTTGAGAATAACTCTCCTGGCACCCATTTGACAAAAATAAAGGCAACAGATGCAGACAGTGGGCATAATGCTGAGCTCAGTTACCTTCTGGGTGTGGATGCACCATCTGAATTCAACTTGGATCGTCGTACAGGCATCTTGACCGCAGTGAAGAAACTAGATAGAGAAAAACAGGAACAATATAATTTCACTGTTCTGGCAAAAGATAATGGGATGCCACCCTTAATGACCAATGCCACAGTTTTTGTGACTGTTCTTGATCAGAATGATAACGACCCAAGTTTTACTCACAATGAGTACAACTTCTACGTCCCAGAAAATCTTCCAAGGCATGGCACAGTAGGACTAATTACCGTGAGTGATCCTGATTATGGAGAGAATTCTGCAGTCACCCTCTCCATTTCAGATGTGAGTGATGAGTTCACCATTGATCCAAAGACAGGTGTCATCAGGCCAAACATTTCATTTGACAGAGAAAAACAAGAATCATACACTTTCTATGTAAAGGCTGAGGATGGTGGTAGGGTATCACGTTCTTCAACTGCTAAAGTGACCATAAATGTGGTTGATGTCAATGACAACAAACCAGGTTTTCTTGTTCCTCCGTCTAACCACTCCTATGAATTGGTTCTACCATCCACTAATCCAGGCACAGTAGTATTCAAGGTAGTTGCCGTTGACAATGACACTGGCATGAATTCAGAGCTTCGTTACAGTATTATAGGGGGAAACACAAAAGGACTCTTTGTAATTGACCAAACAACAGGCAATATCACACTGAAAGAGAGATGTGTTGCTGCAGACCTTGGTTTACACAGACTAGTCGTTAAAGTTAATGACTTAGGACAACCTGATTCTCTCTACAATGTTGTAATTGTCAATCTGTTTGTGAATGAGTCAGCTTCTAATGTGACACTGATTCATGAATTGGTGCACAAAAGTACTGAAACACCAGTAACCCAAAATATTGAAACAGCTGATGCATCCTCACCAAAAAGTGACTATGTTAAAATCATGGTTGCCATTATTGCTGGCACCATAACTGTCGTCTTAGTATTTTTCGTCACTGCTGTAGTAAGATGTTGCCAATCACCACACATTAAGTCTGCTCAGAAAAACAAGCAGAATTCTGAATGGGCTACTCCAAACCCAGAAAACAGACAGATAATAGTGATGAAGAAAAGAAAGACGAAAATGAAGAAGCATGCCCCGAAAAACTTGTTGCTTCATTTTGTCACTATTCAAGAAACAAAGAAAGATGATTCTAACAATGGTGGAAATGGCATCACACTGGACCTTCCCCTTGAACTGGAAGAACAGAATATGTGCAAATACAGCTGGGGCACTACACCAACTACCTTCAAGCCTGATAGTCCTGATTTGGCCCGGCACTACAAATCTGCCTCTCCACAGCCAGCTTTTCAGATCCAGCCTGAAACTCCCCTGAGTTCAAAACACCACATCATCCAAGAACTGCCCCTCGATAATACCTTTGTGGCCTGTGATTCCATCTCCAAGAGTTCCTCCAGCAGTTCTGATCCCTACAGTGCTTCTGAATGCAGCTATCCAGGGGCAACATTCAAGGTCCCTGTGACTGTACACGCCAGACTGGTAGGTAATCTAAGTTTCTAACTAAACTTTCTATCTTAATATTTTTATTGTTTTCAACTAATGTAAAACTTTATAGAATCTTTTGACTTGAAAGAGGGATAAATGTAATTATAACGTACAAAATCTTCAAGACAGATACATGAATTCATTTAAGTTTGATTAAAAATTCCGAACAAAATAAGTGATTATTATAGGAAATTTAAGTGCAGGATGATGGTCATAATAGTGACAATTTTATCTACAGGTGGTGGTATGAGGTCAGTACAATGGAAAAATTCCATAACAAGGCTTCTAGCACTGCTCTACTTACCATTGTGTGAATGGGCATCACAAAAAGTTATTTATCTACCTCACACAAAGTTTTTTTTTTTTTTAAGATCTAATAAGCAGCTCTTCATGATGTTGAGAATTCTAGCTTCACTGGGGAAAATCTGTGGCTTTCCAAAGCCATTAGATGGCACAAGATATGCATCCTCCATACTTCAACATGCTTCCTAGTCCCTCAAAATCAGTGTGATTTTCAGATTAAGAACTCAAAATCATTTATATATGGAAGAATGGGATTAGAAAAATAATGACATGTTCATTCTAATCTTCAAAAAAACAACGAAATATATGTGAAATCTCTATTTTAGATAAATAGCTAAGTATTTGCATAGTTATACAAGATATTCAGAAGCCATCAGAAGACATCCTTAATATGTAATGATGTTTGGAAAACGCAGTATATTTGCTTTCAATCATGGCACAAAGGGAAATAAGAACATAAGACTCAAGATATCTTTTCACAATAATTTAAAGACTGATATAAAAACTAGAGTTTATATAGAACTTCTTAAAACTTGTATTTGATTTATAAATTGAAACAAATTTATCTGGAAATCAAAAATACTATCATTTCTTAAGAAAATTAAGAGACAGAATTTATCTACTTGTATTTTTCTCCCTCTGGGTCATGCCACATTTTGTTTTCATTATTTTGCCTGTGTACCTCTTAGAGAAGTATTTATCTCAGTTGCATTACATAAAGTCTTTAGAAAAGTTTTTCAGTTTTAATGAAACAATTGTACTGTAAAAGTCAAAATAGATGTTTTTGATAAATACTTAGACATATTGAACACATATACAACATTTAAGATAACTGTGCAAAGAATGTCCCATACTTTTGGGTGGTTTGAAGAATAGAAATCATTCAAGGATATGCACAGTTAAATAATATATGATAATATTAATGTTTCTATTTAATCGTAGAGCAAAGGTATGATACTAATTCAGTTGTGGGTGAATTCTTTGGTACAATAGATCTGCAATTGCATGATGTTGCAGAAGGTAAAATGGAGCCTTTGTCTCTGTATAGAATTCTTGTTATTCTGTAAAAGATTTTATGGTACAATTAATCTACAGTTTAAATGAGTTTAGTGTTTTTTTTATACTTCTGGATCATAGATGGGCCACACACATAATAAATGCTTAATATCTTCTCAGGATTTGAGAAGATCCTTTGCATTTATATTTAACAATTAAAATGTAAGGCCCGGGATGTAGCTCAGTGGTGCTGCCACCTGCCTCACAGGCACAAGGTCCTGAGATTGATCTCCTGTACAAAAAGAAAAAAAAAAAAATGCAGTTATTTTCTACACTATTTTTATTATCCTGTTTATTGGAAATATATCTCAACTAAAAAGTAGTTTTTATGAGTAACACTTTGTGTTTTTCTGGGCTAATTTTATGATTTCCTTAAAAAATATAGAAAGTGTGGAGTTTATGAATTAAATTTGTAGGTTACTGTTACTAGATCGGCGCACAAACTTAGTTAACAGAGCAGATTTTGTTTTCAACTGATTTTGAAGGCTCAGAGATATTTTATGATCTCGACTAATTGTTCTTCAGTATATGAACAGACAGTAAGCAAGGCAAGAAAATGTTAAATATTTTTCAAATGTTCCCTTATTATTTTTTATATTTTTCAATTTTATGGCATTAATTAATAACCCTGTCTCATGGTGATATTGTATATTATATAGTTAAGAAGATTTTCACTAAATATAGCACAAATGTCTTCATGAGTTAGGCAAAATATGACAAGTGTTGAGAATGAGTCGCTGATTATCATTATGTTTTAATTAACTGAAAGGACTGTCTTAAAATCAGTGAGTTATTTTATTTCCTCACATCTTGCAATATTGCATATTTTATGTCATTGGCTCACAGTTGTTTCTTACTCATTACTAAAATTTCAATATGAATTTATGAACTTAGGCAGACTAATTGAATACTAAAAATTATTTGAATGCTTACATTTTATGCTACCTTTGCCATGTTTTTATTCCTTTTGTATATTTTTCAGTTTATGATTAATGCCAGAAGAAGGATCTTATATTTGCAATTGCAGAATGCTAAGGAGATAAATGAATGTTATGTATTTAAAAATTCAAATACAATATATATCTTTTTAAAAATCATATAAAATAGGAGTATGTGTAAATCAGTAAAATAAAAATTCATTATTAAGGAAATTCAGCCAGTGAAATAAAATATTACTGATAGCAAATGCCCCAATATTCCATTTTATTTTAAACAAAAAATATTTTCAGAAATAGTGTTTAGGATGATACATTCATTTCAGTATTCATCTGAATAGAAATATTCATGGGGAGAAATAAAAGCATTCAGTAAGATACAAGGAGTTTTATAAGAAAATTTACATTTTAAAATGGAATCAAATATTTTCCATAAAATATAAATTTTCTGACCAGCTGTTCAGAAAAATTCAGAGATGTCATTGTTTAGGAGTGCACCTAACACACGAAACTACTTATACCTAGAAAACATGATGCACTTCTGGCCTCAGTTTCTACATTATGGAAAAACTTTTCGAGTATATTTGTGATAGAAATTTAAGAGAGCAAATCCACAGATGATCTTCTCTTAACACCTTTTAGGGCAAGTGTATAATATTTGTTTCATATGACCCTAAAAATTATGAAGTATAAATAGCTATTTTAGAATAAATTTTGCTAATTTTTATATATAAGACATACATTATCAAAATCAAGAGATGCTTAGTATAATTATTCCATTAAAAATATGTTGAAGACCATAAGTTTAAAAATTAGAAAGTAAAATTGAGGACCCGGGTTTAAGCTCAGTGTTTCTGCCATCTGCACTGCAAGCACAAGGACCTGAGTTCAATCTCCGGTAACAAAAAAGATAGTAAAATTAACTGTAATATCTTTGGGGGTCTTCTATATATCAATCTTAGACATGTATTTAGTTAATTCATTTTTCCTAACTCCAGAAACATTTATAATAAATTTCTGTAATTTGAGTTGATTAATCTCACAATTTTGGTAATGATGTAAAAAGAATGGTGAAAGTTTTGGACAGTTATAACTAATGGCTGAAGTCATGCTGTAGATATGATACATGGACTCAAATGGTAACAGCTTCTGAGTTACCCTGGAATAGTACTAGTAGTCACTACGGTTAACTTTAATGACTTTGATTTTGTGCATCTGTACTTTTGTATGTGAATTTTAACCATG